GCATTGATTGAGCTGTTTAATGGAATATCAAAGGTCCATTTGTGCACCCATACATTTCTGCTTGCCAGCCTTCCTTCTGTGGGACCGTGCCAAGGTGCCTGCCCGCCTGGTGCCTGTTACCGAAGACCACGACAGGATGTACAGACTGTTAAAGGAGTCAGACCTAGACTATGTGGCAGTGATGCCCCCACACATCGCGGGTAAGCTACATTAATACCCAGCCATTGCTATACACACATTCATGTATAAAACAGGAAATAATTGACATGAATTTTAGCAAAGTCTAATTAATTACTTTGTAATTTATGGTAAATATTACTGACTTGATTCAGATTGAAAATCTAAATTAAAGAGCTTTTAAAGTGATCAGTGTTTCTTTAGAGAAAATGTTTGTTTCAGCCCTAAAATTGGGTTTTCGTCATGCAGTGAACTTATGTTAATACTTATTGTTGTGTCGTTAACCTGCAGGTGACAAGCCCTTGACTGAGAATTACACTGCAACTGAGAATGCAGTGAAGAGTCGTGTCATTTCCAAACATGACCTAGGCCACTTTTTTGTGAAATGTCTCTCCACCTCTGACTGGAACATGAAGACAGTGGGAGTGTCTGGAGAGTACAGTTAAACCCAATAATCCACCCCAGCTCCGGTGATATGTAGAGAATGCTTCATGCCTTAAGAGAGTTTGACACAAATATTTTGGCCTAAGGATTTCAAGAAGTATTAGAGAGTAATGTTAAAGTATGTTGCTCTTGGCATCAACTTTGGTGTGTATACCACGTCACAATAAAGTAGTTTTGCCTACAAGGTGTGTAATGTATATCTTTACTGATATAGAGCAGAAAATACAGCTCTTTGATCACTGATTCTATGTTGGAATTCAGCTATTTTTAGCTGGACAGGACTACTGAATATCAAACTTATATACTGTAAATCACATTAAGCAGTTTAAATACTTGTTAAAAGGACACTTTAACCCTGGGGAACCCAGAGCACCTTATCATTATAGGAAAAATATGTCCATTGGCTAAAATGATCATACAGGCCCAGTGAACTCAAAAACAGGTGTTTTGTAAAAAATAACCCTTTCCCAGTCCATGCTATGAATGTGCCATATACGAGCCGCTGGACTGTTCATGCTGTTCCAACTTGTTAATTTCACCTATGAAATTTGGACAGAAAAGAAGGAAAAACCAAATCTTTGCAACATTCTCATTTTCAAAATACTTTTATTGAGTTTTCCTTTTCATCATTCACCATGTGCTGGCAATAAAACACATGGTTCAAACATGCCAGCCCATCAAGAAACAAGTCAAGTGAACAGACCTGCAAAAAGGTGCACTACACACAGAGAGTTTACTTGTGGTGGCTTGTAAGGTCTGGTGCTCCACCTGTATTCTCCCCAGGGTTATATTCAACAAATACAGAAAACATAGCAAGTAGTTCATAACCAGTGTTTAAGCAAGTGTTTTAAATTTTGTTAAAGTTAAACCACTGTCCTTTACTGTCTGTTAACGCTGGGAACTGGATATTTTAGCGTTGGTGCTCAAGGGGAAGGCAAACAGGATGAGGATTCCTGAGGGCTATGTGTTGGCATTGAGAAGGGCAACATTAAACACCGCCTTTTTCACATGGACCCTATCCATTCATAAAAAGTTACAAATATTAGCATAGATTAATGGCAAACTATGTTAAGTGTAGCCAAACAGCTTTGATCACATGGTCAGAAAAAAAGTCCATGATCTTGTGATTAAAACCCTCGCAAAACATTGTTTTTCAGAGTTACCATTTTAAGGAAGTCCTTTGAATGGTCCTTGGTAGTCAAACAAGGGCTTCCTTGTTCTTGCGTCATAAGAGAAGCTGTACTGATGTGTCTCTGACTTTCACACATACGTTGTTCTGTCATGTGATGGGGAAGAATATAGGCTGATATATGGGTTGAAAACGTAGCAGAAGGTTGCTCAACAGTGCAGATTTCTGCTTTAGCCCCGTTTTTAATGTGTTTTTTAGTTGATGGGCGGATGAACATGTCTGGGGGCTGATATCCCGGTGTTGCCAGTTTAAGTAACCCAGGAGTCTGTTACTTACAGTAAATAACCTCTTAAGATGAATCGTTTTTCACGAGGCACTGAGGGACCTTGATGTTTGCTGGGGGCCAGGCTATAGCTCAGCATAGTCTTTGCATCAATTCACCCTGCTTGGTTTCATTTAGATGAATTGATGCACGGGACACGAGACCAAGTGATTATGCAACAGGTTACTCAAAATTTTCAATTTTGACAATAATAAACAATTTTTTACAATTATAAACATTTGCTTATTTTAAAACCAGAGGACAATAAATGAATTTCAAAGCATAATACAGTGCAAGAAGATTAAACAATTTTATCCATCCATATTCTAACTGGTTAATTTAGGTTAAATCCAGGATAATTTAGGAAGGAGTTAAAAGGAAAGAAAAATTCTGTTGTGTTTTTATTTTGCATATATAAAGAGTGAAAGTCGAGTGCTTCTGGTTTGCTGTCTTTATGTGGACAGTTAATAGAGTAAATATTATATTTACAAGGAACACTGGCACAAAGAACTTTACAGAATACTGGGCGCAAAGTCCTCAGAGAGTAAACCAGAGGTGAGAGTGACCAGGAAAAACTCCCTCTGAGTGGCAAAGAAACCATGGGGAAGCCCAACGACATGTGGCACCAGGAAGTGCAACGTCACTCAATTTAGTGTGAAGTAAATTCAGGCAGATTATGTGACAGCACAGGTAGGGAGGTACCAGTGTAAAATAAATCAGTATTTCAAAAATGTTCATGGAGGGTGGCAGGGGCACGGGGGGGATCTTGATTAAATAGGGGGGTGGTATTTAGGGGGGTGGTATTTTTTTTTTATGTTTGTGTGTCATTTTTTCCCACGAAGAGGATGACATCCACGTTAGGGTGACCACTTGTCCAGGCTTCGCCCAGACGGTCCAGTTTTTCAGCCCTGTGCCCAGACTGCTGTTGGATGTCCTCCTTTTAGCTCCCTTGTCCTCCTTTTCCCTCCCCCTACCCACCTCCATGTCAGCGACTAGCACCACTCTCTTCCACCCCCAGTCACACAAAAATGTGAAACACCCACACACACATGCTACAGAAGCCGAGACGTTTAAAGTTCTCTCGAGATAAGGAGATAAATATCCCAGTAGATATTCCCTTCTCAGCTCCTGTAGTATGGGTATGATATCACCTTATCTCTTCTTTTTGAGCCCTAGTCCACATTTTTGGACACAGGTGTCCTTCTTAGAGTCATTCTGGTGGTCACCCTAATCCATGTGCATCCCATGGGAACTGCAGCCCTGCCAGGCACAGTCTGGAGCAAGCTGGGGCACAGGCAGGCAGATGGGCAGGTGAGGTGGCATGGACAGCCCACAACTAGGCATGCAGAAACACGGATATGCCAGGCGGGGAGATCCCTCGAATATAGACCTCTGAGCGACTCACCGCAGGAACAGGGAGGGGATAAGGAAAGTGCGTCAGCAAGTGCAGATTTGGAAATGCAAAGCGGCAGGGCGGCTACCATAAAGAAACTCCGACTGGCATGACTGGAAGGGAGAGGCAGCATTCCGACACTATATGGCCATATGCAAAGCAAGTACTGATTGTACAGTTCATCCACTGCTGGTGACACTGATCACAACATATACCCGGATCTGCACTACAGTCTATAACACTAACTAGGGGTGAGTGACTTAAGAACTAGTGGAGCATTGGAACAAGGAAGAAGAAAGTAATAAGAAAGCTACTGAAGTAAACGAGTGCAAAACAAAGAGTATTCACAATATACAAGCGGTTTAGAGGAAAAAGATCTTTGGGCATTACTGTATCAATGGGGAACTCTTAAAGAAGACTTTAACAAATGATCTGGCCTTAAAAAAAATTATAATAACCTCCAGTCCTGAGGTTATTGTACGGTATAACAGTGATGTATTGAGCAGGCAAAACTAAAAATGAAGATGATGTGAGATATTTACATATTTTGCTCTTAATTTTTTAACCAGCAGGGTAAGTTTTACAAATCACATTTGCTGACACCTGTTTTTGAAAAAATCTTTTAAAGTGAATGAAATGAGCTACATCATCCCATTCCCAGACAACATCATTTCATTCACTTACAATAAGTACAAAATGAAAGTCGAAGCTTTACTAAGCAAGGCGCATTTCAGAAGTCCCAAACACTCCATCAGGATGTGAAATGTGTGCCCATTCCCTGACTTTATTCAGCCAGTGTCTAGTGGCCAACAATTCGATAACGGCACACTGCCAGCCATCCCTAACCCACCTGGGCCTCAACTACACAGATTTAGGAAACATTAAAATGTTGTAATCTACCATTATGTCCAATGCAGTTCACACAGCCAGTCCCATACTTTAAAATAGGCTCAGCATGGATGCAGGTTTTAGGGGTAACCTTTAGGTCAGCTGTTCAAACCTAGGTGTGAGGACTCTTCATCGAATCAGTCCACTAATTCGTAATCTAAGTAGGGAGTTGCAGCAAAAACCTGCACACACAGCAGCCCTTTCTGGATAAGATTGGCCACCCCTGCTTTTAACATGTTTGGCAAGTATTGTGCTGATTACAGCATTCTCTCATCACAAATTCACTTCATCCACTCAGGACCCTAGGTCAGATAACCCTTCAAATTCTGTCAATCACAGGGAGAGATGTTGCAACCCATCCAAAGCAAAAAAAAAAAAACATGTGACATCCCCCCTATCCACTTTTTATTTATACAGCATTATATCAATAGTGAAACATACACAACACAGAAAGACCTTACAATACTGATAGAAATATTGCCATGCAGTTGCTACAGTTATTTAATTGTTCTCTTCATATTTTAGACATTTTCACGATTTTAAAAATATATCTTGGCACTGTATTTTTCTTAACATAAACTACAATGTTGTGTAATGACTACCGCGTCTAGACAGTTTCGCGTTTTTGAAAAGTGGACTTTTATTTCCTGTTTGTTTTTAGCGGGGCTGGGTGCTGGAAGGCGGAGTTGACAGAGCAAGACGTACATAGCGATAGCCTTCGTTAAAAAGAAGGAAAGAATCAGTGTGCAAACAAGAATGCCTTCCTCTTACAAATCTTATGCCGTGCTTGTAGGATTCGTATTGCTTTATATCCTGTACCTTGTATTTGGAGCCCTCGTCTTTTCCATTATAGAGAGACCCCAGGAGGAAAGACTGAAAATCGAGCTGAAGACACTCAAAGAGCAGTTTGTTAACCAGAGCTGTGTGAATGTAACATCTCTAGAAAACTTTTTAGTCCGGGTTTTGACGGCGAATAAGTATGGGGTATCAATGCTTCGAAATGCTTCGTCAGCTTCAAACTGGGATTTCGTCTCGTCTTTATTTTTCGCCAGCACTTTGGTCACGACCGTAGGTAAGTACATATGCACAAGTTATTTTGGCCATTAGGCGTCTTCCGCTCTGAAAAGTTCACAACAAATTCTGCAAATTCTGATCGAGGCGCGATATTAATCTTAACGTTAAAGATTAACTGTTTCTTTTGAATGTTGGTGTTAAAAGGTATGTAAATTCATACAATGCTCTTAATACAATGCACAAGCAAAACAGTGAAATGATTATACAGATTTTTCATACTGACGTGGCTAAAGCTCACATATTGCTATTGATAGCACAGCGATTGTGCTAGAGATGAAACTGAAGTTTCCATTATATTCTTCCGTTCCACATAATTGTGATCATAGAATAACAAATGTTACAAAACAGGTTTCTGTACATGATATTCCCACAACACAAGATTACCCCCGCAGGAGTGTCTTTAATACAATAAAATCTGATTTTGTCACGTTGTTCAATAGATTAGTAATTCAATAATACATTTTCATGGAAGATACGTACTGTATTAAACTGCCTCTTGTAAGTCTTCCTTGTTAAATGTAGCACATCATGCATGTAAACAAATGACATTTTAATATTCAACATTTCTTAGAAAAGAGAACTTTTGCATAAAATGTATATTTATAAATTTACAATAAGACCCTATATTTGAAGGCTCAGGAGAACAACAGTCGTCAAATGATTATATAAACACAGGGATTGTTTCGAGAAACAGCAATATGTAACAGCTCCGAATTCGTAGTAGTTACAGTAAGCATGTGTTATATGTTATGGCTGTTTGATCTTTTTAAAAACAAGTTCTCAGTTTGCCTGCTGATTTATGCTTATGTTTCTTTTTCCACCAAGAATCAGAGGTCTTGTGCGTTAATCTCTGCAACAACAACAATTTAATATAGTACATTTTTGTTCCATGTAGTGCTGCTATAGTACTGCTGATTCTATAGACTTAGTAAGTTACTTAAGTGTCCTATTACTAAGGACCCATTTATATAGGTTAATTCTAGGATTGGGGCTGGGAAATCTGATCATGGATCAGCGTAGAAGCTTGCTGGTTTTAAATGATTACATTTCCAACTCTGCCTCGTGACCATTTCAAAAGTTGATGTGACCCAAATTGGGGTCGCGACCCAGGGGTTGAAAACTGCTGCTCTCTTTGATGTTTGGGTAGTACCACTGATTACTAAGATGCTAACTATTCAGCAGTTTATCTGATATATTAAGGTATTAACAAAGATACAAGAAGATTTCTGTATAAGAAAGCAGGTACCCTATTTGTGATGGTTTTTGTTCCCTTTCAGTGGTCTTTAGCAAGAAAGATGAACAATGAAGTAATAACTTCCATATATAACACTAAACCAAGTGTAAATATGGAGATAATACAGAGTAAAGAGAGCGGTTCATAGAAACAAGAACTGCCAGCCAAGCAATCAGATCCACGCATCGGTAGATTCTGTGTAAACATGGGAATGCAGAATGCAGAGTGAACACAAATAGTGGCGCAGTCTGAGAAGTGAGCTATGCGGGCCGGTGCTCTTTATATCAGTTTCACTCTTCACAATGGCCAGATCCCAGGGAATTACTATAATCCGGTCTTGAGTTGATGAATCCATGAACCATGATGCCAGGATTCTTTTCTAGCTTGTTCTCCAAATAAGTTTGGTCATTTTAAAAGTGAAAGACAAATATTTTAACTAAATGCAAAGTCAAGATTTTTTTTTTTTGCAGCACTTAATTTAGTCAATTTAAAGATAATCAGTTTAAATAAAATACCAAGTAACTTGCCTATTTCTAAGTGTTACAGTATATATGCAATATATACTTGGTATTCTAACCAAAAATAATGATATATTAATACATAATATGGGCCGTGACCCTATTTATATCTGCCAAACCACCATGCTGCCTCAAATTGCAATGCAGTACTTTTGCAAAAAACATTTTGAAATGAGAATCATGGCTGTATTTCTGACAGTGGTGTGGCTCAAAGTATCCAGAGTCTTTGTAGTTCTTCTGGAAAATGCATAAAATGTATTTATGCCTTATACCTCTTAAAAATTATAAAATCAGTATTATTACATATGCATAACATTGTAGAGTGCGCAGATGCATGTTAAATCATCTCTTACTCCAACCGGCTTTGATAGGATTGTGATGAGTCAGTTACTAATGACTAAGGTGGAAACATTCAGGCAAGAATGCATGCAAGATACCTTTGGTGGAAAGTTTCTCTGTGATATAAATAAGGTGCAATATCATTTAAAAAAAAAAGAAGCATTTTAGACTGACAGTCCATAGCATCCAAATAGATTTGGGCAATGCAATATATCATGCGACTGCACAATAATCACATCGCATTTGTCAGAACCGCATTGTGTCTGTTGACACAACTCAAGGCAACCCCACCAACTTTTTTGACATGAACTCTTAGTGGATGAGAAGTTCTAATTGGCTATAGTTTATTTTGGGTAATTTTATCTCCTTTTTTTTATTATAAATATCATGTTATGTTACTCGTGGACATTTCTCATTACCATGTAATATTACGCAGCCCTAAAATAAATGTAAGAGAAGTTAAGCTTCAGTACTAGGGCATATTTTACTGTGAAGCAAAATTTATTTGTTTTAAAATTTTACCTTGTAAAGGTTCATTTCACAAAACAAAGTCAAAATGTATTTACTTGTACACTGACTTTAGCATGCTGCTTGTTCCTGATTATTGGTAGGCCTATTAGTTGTAAACAGGATTTGTAAATTAATTAAGCATTGATTTTACTTTTTTTTTTTTTTTTAATAATTTTGATAGGAAAACCATTTGTCAGTGACTTTTTTTTTAATGGGGTTGACCATAAGCTGTCCGTGGCTCTGTGGCAGTGTGCACAATCGATCATGGCGTCTTTCCAGATCGATCCCGAAATGATTAATGGATAAATGGTCACTAATACCCCCCCCCCTTTCCCCGGTGGCAAAATATACTGGTTGGGCATCCCTGGTCTGTGGCTTAGGCCCCACTTTGGGCAGCAGCTTTTGCTTAAAATATAAATGCAAGCGGTGCTGCTTGTCCGAGTGGCATTATTAAGATTATCATAAACTTTATTGATCCCAGGTGGAAATTCTTGTGCATATATCAGCAGGTAGGTCTACACAGACCGCAGGCAGACATACATGTAGCTAGTGCAAAGTGCAAGGGTAGTACACGTAGTCACAATTCAAATACGTGAAATCAAGGCACAACGATTTACTGTACATTCGCAGCTTTGAGGTCTTCACTTAACTCTTGGGAACAGGGTCCACCCCCAGCTACCTTGGAAATACAAGTCCATTCATTCACCTCCACTTCAGCAAAGTCTTGTCCAGTGGGACCTAATATCATCCAAAATGAAATTGCTTTACATGGCTCTACATAGTCTACACCTACGTGATGAATGTAAGGAAAGTGTATGCCTGTGTGTGTGTGTGTGTGTGTGTGTGTCATAAGAGAAGCTGTACTGATGTGTCTCTGACTGGCACACATACAGTATGTTATTCTGTCATTTAATGGGGAAGAATAGAGGCTGATATATGGGTTGAAAACATATCAGAAGGTTGCTCAACAATGCAAATGTTTGCTTTAGCCCTATTGATTGTTTTTAATGTTTTAGTCTTTAGTTCTTCATTGTAATGGGCAGAAAACTTTTAATATTTCTATGTTAATCTTGCTTTATTGCTGCTTGACCCTGTCAGAACTCTGTATCACATGTTACATTGAATGCTAATGACTATGTATCTTAAATTACTCAAACTCCCTTTTAAATGTTCAGTATCTTTAAAACAGACACAATTATCGATGAATGGATTAATGAATGATTAAAATCGGTTACACATTAAATGTTTGTATCGTGTTAAAAGTTGTGTAACTTGAAACGTATAGCTTTTTGTTCTGTTAAGAACTGAATATTGATCTGAAAGTTTGCTTGAAGTTTGTCTGAAAGGCAGTTTCTTTGAAAATAGTTACATAGTTGCAAAACTGATGGAAGGTGAAATAATTGCATCGATTAAATTGAAGGTTAATGTTTATGCATGTGACTGTGCTTTATTCTTTTTAAATCTACCCATATTTTCTGCTTTCTGTAGGTTATGGTCACACCACACCGCTGTCAGATGCGGGAAAAGCGTTTTGCATCATCTATGCCCTGCTGGGGGTTCCGTTTACAATGCTGGTGCTGGCTGTCAGTGTCCAGCGCCTTATGCATCTGCTGACCTATAAGCCGATTGCCCTGTGCCAGCGCTGGGCTGGCTGGAATCCCAAGAGAGCCGGCATCTGGCACTTTTTGCTCCTCCTCTTTTTGGTGGTGCTGTGCTTCTTTGCGATCCCATCTGTGATCTTCAGCGCCATTGAAACCTCGTGGTCGTTCCTGGATGCCCTCTATTTCTGCTTCATCTCGCTCTGCACCATAGGGCTTGGAGATTATGTGCCAGGAGAGCAACCAAACCAGAAGCTCAGGTCCCTCTACAAGATATCTGTGATGGGTGAGTAGAAAGTATGACCGTACATACAGTGGGNAAGGTGGTATTTCTCCAGCAAATTTCAAACTTTTAATATTTACGTTTTTGTACACTTAAAATATTTCTTTTGCCTGTACACACGAAATTCTACAATGTAAAGTACATTTAGAGTCATTTATAATTACTAATGCTTTTGTGTGGCATAGTGGTCAGCACTCTGTCCTTCTACCTTCTGGGTTATGCTCCTCTCCTGTCCATGGCTCTTTCTCCGTGGAGTAAACTATTTCAGCACTACATCTGCTGACGCAATAGTAGTGAATGTGGGAGTCAGACGGGGATTTCAGGTCAAAATACCTGAGCCTAATCACTTGTATTCCATGGGTTCTTGCTGGTTTTCCAGTGACTGCTGTAACTTCTCAGAAGGCGCTGTACGTCATTTTGTGCCTAGTTTTACATGAACGTCTGCACCTTCCATTTGTGAATGCTTAACGTGGAGCTTGTTATAATGTACTTTTATCGACATACTCCTGTTTCAGAAAAAGCTTTTACCTGTTTGTGCATAGCGCACCCTGTCACCTTTGTAGCCGTTTTTTATATTCTACCCTTAAGTTTATTTTTTTTTTAAACAAAAATCACTGCTGAAAGAATCTGAACAGTATTGTTGCACCTGACATTTCTATACTAGCCTATATAAACAGGGCAACCTGCTGTGTACCACCAAACAGACGGATGGATAAACAAAGTAACAAGTAGCAAGTATAGAACTATTAAAATTGGGTGTCAGGAAATTAGGCCTATATAAATATTTGGTGAAAATATCACAATAGTATAGTCTTTTTCCCCCACACTATTATATCTTATTGGTTATCAAATATTTCTCAGAAACTAAAAGAAATGTATGGAAATATATTATGATGGGCAACACTGGCAATTTTTAAATTTATGTTTTATGGTAGCAGTTTTTATTTTGGCAGTGACTCTTCTATATACTTGATGCACTGCAGTTTTATTTAATGCCTCCAGGTGTTGCTAGAAGACCATTAGTAAGCTAATTTTCTTGAATATCCAGAATAGGAGGCAACAAATTTATTTTTGAAAAGTAAAACTTGGAGAATAACTAAATTTGCACGTCAATATTTGAAATGCATGCAGCTTCAAAAACTTTCTTGTTTTTATTAAATATTATGGAGCAATTTGTGTTGTGTAATTTCCATTGTATTTATTTAACAGTGGATTATTTAAATAAGAATTAAAAAAAACTATACCAAGTCACAAGTCATAGTACATGTTACAAAATGTAGACTGTGTGCATCACAAAGCGTATATTACAGTCTTTGAACTGAATTGGTAAAACACGCATAATGAAAATATGATCCACTTAATCTTTAATATCTCCTGGGCACAATGGTACGTAGGTAGAGAAATTTGAGACATGGAGGGAAATAGAAAAGAAAGAAACTAATATTAAGGAAATTTGTGTACCTGGACTAGAAGCTGAGCTGTACATTCTGCCACACAAAGCCTGCTCTTCCTGCTGTTCTACTGAGTGAATCTGCTAGGCCGACTTGCTGTGTGGGCAGCAAAGGAAAGCTGGTCACCTGTCATTACTAGTGATAGCCAAAGGAAGCTTCATAAACCATTAACTGTATTTGTGATGGTGCTTGAATGGTAGGGCTGGCAGGGAAGACACAGAGGTTCGGCTGAAGGAGAAGACTATATATATATCCAGGCAGCCATATTGACAAAGCATGTGTAGATCTGAGCAGACCGTACCGCCCTCTAGAGGCAAGCTGAGGTATACCTAGATGTCACCAGCATAGTAGTGGTAGGACAAGCCATGTGACTGAAGGACATGTACTCTGTGTTTTGTCTGTTAGTTTTTTAATCCACTGTTAATCGTAAAGTTTTATTTCTGATACTTCGTGGTTAACTTTAAAGTGTAACTTGTTTAAATAGTTATGCATGTAATATTGTACGAAGGGGCTTCCTTCCATATTAAACAAAATATCACAAGAAAGTGGGCTCAAATTAAATTGCAAAGTTCAATTGAAAAAATAATATTTTGGGTGCTAATATGTGTGGAAAAGTTCCAAAGTGCAAATTTGCACGTTGCTTTTTATCCTGAGTAGAGACATAAGCTATGTTTAATCATAACTGATCTGTCCTTTTTTTCTTCTTCTTTTTTTGCAAAATTTATGTGTGATTACCTGCAGTCTACCTGTTGGTGGGATTGACGGTCATGTTCCTGGTACTTCGCACCTTCCACAAGCTGGCTGACTTGCATGGCCTGACATCATTATTGCACTTGCCCCACTGTGAGGAGGAGGAAGAAGACAAAGAGCCCATTGTAGCCGATCAAAGTGCTCCTAATGAGCAGGCAAATGTGGACAAGAACACTAGTAAGCCTTTGGATCCAAGTTCCCAGGTCTCCTACAGCTCCATCAACAGATAAGCCAATGCTGTCCAGAAGTTCAGTTGAACTACTTCACCATTATTACTAATTCCCGTCATGTCAGTGATGGGATAATAAGCTTATGGTCTTTCTGAAAGTGAAATGATACTTTCCTTTGTAATGAAACATGTAATCAGAATTCATCCCTTTTACTTGACTTGCTGGGAAGATTTAATGTGGAAGTATTTTTCTCATTTTTTAAAGAGGGATTTCAAGAAATAAGGTGTATAAGGTGCATAAATGCAAGCCAGCTCTAACACTCTTATAGTATTATCTTATCAACCTGTAACACAAGGGACAAGTTTTATGTTGGCTTTAAAAGTACAGGAATTAATTGAAGGTATCGAATTATTATTATTATTCTTGTTTGTACATTCTTTCTTATCCCCGATGCATTTCTTGGTATAAATAAATATTGGAGCTGGATTGAATCTGAATTAATATACGGTAAATGCTGATGCTCCCGAAGGTTGTGGTCTGTGTTCTTGGTTTTGCTGTAGTGTTTTTATCATGTATATTATATTATATTAGTGCTATTTAATTTCTCAAAATTTAGGTGGTAACAAGTTGGTCCTCAACGTACATGTATTTGAAAATATCTGTGGTGTTAAGAATTGTATGCTGTTACTTTTACTTTTGAAAAGTGTCATTAAAAACTTTTTTTTTCCTGAAGAAATAGTTTACAGCCTTTCTCAAGCTTTGGATTGGAGAATTGGGTGGGATAAAGTAAGAATGCAAAGAAAATGTCTGACAGTGGCAGTAGAATATGATAAGTGATTTACATCACAGCATCAATGCACATGCTTATTAAAACCTTGTCTTCTTATTGTTTGTTCTCCAGATTTATTTAAATAAAATTTACGGAAACTTCATTACAAGATCTTGGGTCCCTTCATTCACCGAAGAAGATAGCAACCTGTGTTGTGGTTAAATAATTTATGTGGGTTTTGAACTGGAAAACATAATAATAAATGTTTATATACAGTGTGAAGAAGAAATAATTGCCCAACATTTTACTTAATAGATGATAGTTATCTCCATTTGCATGAAACTTCTCAGGTGAAAATCAAGCTTGTGAAATTAAATGGAAGTTTGCTTCTGCGTTTCCTGTTATTTATTCGTCTATTTTGATTATTTCTAATATCGTTGTTTTATGTGTTTATATCAGGGCCAGCCCCAAGGTGTAAGCTAACTTGGGGGCTGCATACAGCCCAGTGGCCACTAGGGGGCTCCCCCTGATCAGCACGTCAGAATGAAAAGAAAGATGACGAGGGCCAAAAAGTTTAATCAAACTGCGCTTGTGGCCCTGAAAAGGGTGAACCTTGAGTTACATAAATATAAAATATGAAGTATTTTCATACCGTTTGAAAAGACATGGACACAAACACATTATTTTAGATTATTATGTTTATTGGAATCATTGTCCTAGTGAAGCAGTTTAAACGTTTTCCATATAAAAAGCAAATATGTTGAAAAATGTTTTAAACTTGTTAATAATGAGAAATGGAAAACATAAAATTGTACACAGGATAGTACTGTTAAAGTTTGAAGATTACGTGACTTTTTAAATGCATTACAATATAAAATTTTAATGTAAATATTTTAACCTTTTCTACAAATATTAATGACGAGAAATATTAACTCCTTTAGGTCACAACAGATCGCAATATACAGCTTTTATAACAAATAACACACTCCTACAGTATACGACTCGCCTGCTTCATTAATTACAAGCATCACATTGAGTTAAGAAGACAAATCAAACCTAAAATAACTGTCCTCACCCTCTCGCCATGCAAGTGACTCAAGAAAAATAAAACAATTATGAACCCAAGTAAATATAAAATTTTCAAAATGAGAATACAGTGTTTATTCTTATTTAACTGCAAAGGAACAGTATTAATTACTCTAATTTTAGACAGCATGTTATAACTAAGGATCAGATGAAAATCAACAATATATTTAGAATATTACACGAAGCTAAACCAACTTTGTCCATAGTTGCCAGGCAAAATTATTACATTAATTATTTAAATATTCAGATATTAAACATTCAGAAAATATTTGTGTTTAATATGAAAACATTACTTTTATAGATGATAGCTTAGTGAATCAACTAGTAAATCAAACGTGCATTTCAGGTTTCAAGGTAACAAAAATTATGATATATGAAAATTTCGCAGTGTTTTATTGAAGCCATATTTAATGTATCCTTCAAGAGAGACAATACATACTTTTTCAATGCCTGCTTCCTAATTATTATTACTACTTCGAAAATTATTCTAATGAACTTGCTAGTATTTATTTAATCATAAACTCTTTTTAACAAAGTTCAATAATAAGTATATATATTGATCAGTTTAATCTTTTTTCTTTTTTTTAGACAGTTTTAGTTTTTGTTTGTATTGTGGAATTTATTATTATTATTATTATTATTATTATTATTATTATTATTATTAGTAGTAGTAGTAGTATTTAAAAAATCATCCATAAAATTTATCATGATGCTCCCTATCTATGTAGTACAGGGGATTCATCAGTAAAACAGTACAATCGTTTTGGACATTGCATTCTACTGCCTGCTGTTCGTAGAGCAGTGTTTCTCAAAGCAATCCTTGGGGATCCAAGATGGTCCACATTTCTGCTCTCCCCCAGTTGGGAGTCCCTGAGAACTGGTTTGAGAAGCACTGCTGTAGACCATAATTTGCAATGCATTGTGGGTATTTTATTGTGTGCTATATACTGAATCAGATTGGCTGTTGAGAATTCAAATAGCAATACAAAATGGCGGACGTTATATAATACTATGTTTTGACAATAGAGAGCCATTCTGAAAACAGCTTGTGATTCATAGAGTGAACAAGGTGGATAGATCATAATAGATTTTTAAGATAACTATAGACTTTACTTGTCCCAATTTTATTTAGCATAGTTTGAATTATTTAATTCCAATTATTTATCCTTCCTTGAACGTACTGGGGTCTTTTGGAGTTGAATGGCTGGAGAATCCTACGCTGGGCATTTGCATTTTGTAGCTTCTCCGGGGTTCATCATTTTTGGTACAATGGAGAGAGTCCCTACTGCCCTGTGGAGAACTCTCTGGTGTCATACGCGTGATACTAGACATATTTAGTTTGAATTCTGAGACCTTAAACAGAGATGACTTTCCCTTGCTGATTTCACCACACTGTCCCTCCCTTTTAGTCACAGTGGTATATTCTGCCTCCTCTGTGGCCCTTCCAGAGAAAAAGTCAAGCGATAATTTTGGTATAGGCGATTGTGAGCTCTGCTGTTCCGTCTCTGTTCTTGACTTTACAGGTTTACTGATCTCTTCTTTACCCTTTCCAACTTTCTCTGTGATATTTGATCTGATCCCTGCTTTTTCTCTGTCAGCCCCAGAGACTCTGTCCTTTTTCATCTGCTTAGTACTTTCTTTGTCTTCCTTCCATTTCATTTCGCTCTTCGGTGCTCTCGCTTTGGCAGCAGCTGGCTCTACACTCGTCACTTCATCAGAGAGGCTAGTAAAAGACTGAGACATCTCAGCTTTAGGATTCAGTAAAACAAACACTGCTTTCTTCACTTTAGGCATTTTGGGTCCTTCATATCCCATCTCAGGGTCTAAAGACACAGAAGGAGCATCAGAGGCTCTTGTTTTCCCGGCATGTTCTGTAGACCCACTGCTTTCAGCCTTTGTTCCTTTGGAGCCTGATATCTCCAAGTCAGGAATTTTAAATTTTGATGACTTAGTACTTATTTCTGGGTTTTGCAGCTTAGCAACACAACTGTCAGTTCCTTCTTTGGGTATAGAAAAATCGATACCAGGAAGGGTAATTTTTGGCATTTGTAACTTTCCCTGCACTTTTTCTTTGTTTTCCACATGCATCTCAGCTGTGCCTTTGCCAGATTTTTTCATTTTAAATTCACTCCATTGCTCCCCATCTTTTTTCTTCCCATGTTTTTCCAATTCTATATCTTTTCCCATCTTTAACTTCGGCGAGCCAGTTGAGGGATTTTTTCCTCTTGCACCTTCACCTTTTGGTAAACCAATGTCCAGTTTCATGCTGCCTTTTGGGACTAATATGTCTAATGCTGGCATTTTCATCTTCGTTGGTTCCGCCGTAGTATGCGAGCAAACTCCTTCATCTGTACTTCCTAATATATTCACTTTTGGAATTTTAATTTTGGGTTTAAATTTCCTGTCAGCTTTAACATCAAGAGTATTTTCTCCTGTTTTGCGCTGTGGGATGGATATGTCAACATCTGGCATTTTGACCTTTGGTTTAGAGAATCTATAGTCTGCATGAGTATCAATGTCCTTTGATCCCATTGCAGTGTCACATTCAATATTTTCTTCTTTTGAGCTAGACACATTAAATGAAGGTAAGGTCACTTTTGGAATCCTAAGCTTAAAGTCCTTTCCTTCAAAATCTTGATCACTTGCACCTTCTTTACATGAGCTTGAACCAAGTGACACCTCTTGTTTGTCTTTTCGAATACTCACACCAACATCAACTTTAGGTGCGGATATATTAACTGTAGGTATTTTAAACTTTCCTTCATACTTAGTGTCAGCTTTTGGAAGTAACAGTCCTCCTTCTGACACCTTTCCTGTTGGCAGGGACAGTTCAACAGACGGCATTTTAGCTTTGGGCTCTGGATCTGCTTTGGCCCCAACAGCCTCAATGCCAGCTTCTTTAGAACCTAACCTAGGCATCGATAACTTCGGCATTTTAAACTTGTACTTTACTCGATCATCATAGCTTTCCTTAGCGTTTTCTGGAATTGCAATTTTTCCTTTCTTTGCCTTTACCTCTGTTTCAGTTTCTTTTTCAGATATTAAAATTTTAGGAATTTTTATTTCCACTTCTGGGATGTCGCTCCTTTCAGGTCTGCGGTCCTCTCCAGTCAGGTTGATGGATGCTTCTTCCCTATCCTTTGTCCCTTTTACATTCAGGTCAATATCTGGTAGCTTGGGACTTACAATGTTCAGTTTGGGTATTTTTAATGTTGGGAGTTTCAGTTGTGAATCTTTTTCATGAGTATCAATTTCAGGGTCCTTATCCATATGTTTGAGTTTTGGTGGTTTGATATTGGCCTCAACTTTACATCTGCTGACATCTGTCTTTCCTTTGTCTTTTACAGCAGATCCTTCTATTTTTCTATCTTTTTCTTTGTTTTTTTCTTTGAAATGCACGTCAGCGGTGACATCTTTCTTTCCTTTGGGTAGATTTAGATCAATATCAAACTTTGGTACCTTGATGTTAACAGCTGGTATCTTAACAGGGGTTGTCTGTGAGTTCATTTCATCCTTCTTACCTCTGGAAGCAAATATGTTTTCCTCAGGTAACTTCAAATTTGGTAGTGATATGTCAAGAGTGGGCATGTTCACCTTAGCGCCCTTACTTACAGAAGTATCAGTTTCCATACCGCCCTCTTCAGATTTAATTTTTGGAAGTGAAACATCTAATGTAGGCATATGAATACGGCTGTATTTGGATTTTTGACTTTCCGTGATTTTTTCCTCTGGTAGATTCAGTTTTGGGAGTAAGACATCAAGCTTAGGAATATAAAGTTTGCTGTCTTCATCCCTGCATTCAACTTCAGCAACTATTTCTTGTGATTTTCGGTGTGGAAGTGAAATATCCATTTTTGGCAAGTATGATTTTCCACCTTTGACTTCATGACTTTCATCAGCAGTTTTTGCTTCTTTTGACTTCATGGTCGGCAGTAAAATCTCAAATCTAGGCATTTTCAGTTTGCCATCTTTGTCGTCATGTCCTTCAACATGTGTCTCTGCTGCTGGTGGCTTCAGTTTTGGGAGAGAAATGTCAATTTGGGGCATGTAACCTTTTTCATGTCTTATATCTGATACTTCTTTGTGTGCTTTAAGTTTTGGAAGTGAGACATCAAATGTTGGAATTTTAAACTTTCCAGATAAGCCTTTGTGTCCTTCAACATCACTTTCTGTATCTTTTGATATTTGTTTTGGAATCATGATATCTATTTTTGGCAGTTGTAATTTGACTCCTGTCATTTCAGGACACTCGATGTCCACTTCTTTTTTGGATGCTTTCATTTTGGATAATGTAGGCAAGCGGAATTTACCACCTTCCCATGCATTTTTATTTCCATCTTCGCTCTTTATTCCTGGAGGTGAGATATCAACTTGGGGTATGGATATTCTGCCACCTTCTGTACTCTCCAGCTTTGAGTCAGATTCAGATGTTTTCAGTTTTGGAAGTGAAATATCCACAACCGGAATATTTATCTTCCCACCTTTGTCACTAACATCTGACTCGACACGTTTAATTTTTGGTAATGAAATTTCAAATGTTGGCAAAGAAATCTTTGAAGCTTTGGTTTCCTCAGGCTGATCAAGACTTTTAAAACTAGGCATGAATTTTGGCACTGAAATATTCAATTGAGGCATGCTTATCCTTGCATCTTTGACATCTGTATCATTTTCTTTTGTTATAATATCTAGCAATGGGCATTTGGAATCAGCTTTGGGAGTAGAAGCGCTAATTCTACCCAGTTCTGGCTTTGGTAATGATATTACTGGCATTTTTAGCTCCAGTCCATCTATTCTGTCTTGGCTTCCTTTAATTAATCCCCCTTTTGCTTTAATATCAGCTGCACCCTTTGCTTTCGGCAGGTGTAGATCAATGTCAGGATCCTGTACTGAAATGTCGATGACTGGCAGTTTTATTCCAGGTCTTTTAATTGTCTCAACAGACTCTTTCTGAGGAGCTGCTAGCTTTGTCTCACATCTTGGTTTGGGCAAAGAGATTTCAATGGATGGGAGCCCATCCAGATCTTTGCCCTTTTCTTCCAGATCTGTTTTTGGAGTGATCAAGCCTAATTTTGGAAGAGATACCTCAACATCATCCTTTAAACTTCCAAACTTTGGCAAGAATTTTAAGGGTTCATGTGTCCCCTCTGCTTTGGATGTTTTATTCCACGTTGGGGTCACATCTTTACCCAGAAGCTGCTGCAAATCAAGCTTCGGTGCCGTGATATTGATGGATGGCATCTGCATCTTCTCCTTCCCCACTGAAACTTTCTCTACTTTTTTCTTGTCTAAGGAATAACGAGGAAGTTCAATTTCTGGCAGTTGGAGCTTTGCTTTCTTCGTCTTGCCATCTTCACTGCCAAGTTCATCTTCAGCAGTCGGACCAGAACCAAAACCGATTTTGCCAATTTCAATTGTAATGCCCTCACCTATCGAGTGTCCTTTTTGTGACTTGATGTCTTCCTTACTGACTTTGGGACTTATTTGACCCTCTTTAGGTAAGGTGTCTTCTGCTTTCACTGAGGGCAATCCCATGGATAGTTCAACTTCAGGAGGTTTAAACTTTAATCCATCTTTTTCTTTTACATGAGTTTTTATTGCATCGGCACCACCAAAATCGAATTCTACTGACGGTGGTCTGAATTTGATTTCAGGTGACATCACTTCCATCTTTTCTTCTAGTTTTCTATCCTTAGCTTTGGTGAACATTATCCCAAAGCCTGTAGCCTTCTGTTTAACTTGGACTTTTTCTTTAGTCTTACCAGTGTCCTTGATGCCGCCTTCTGTGTTGGCTTCTTCGATATTAGCTTGCTTCACCTTCATTTTAGGAAATCTTATTTTCCTTTTCTTCTTCTCTGTTGTGAGTGACCCACCCCGAGGGCCATATCCTGTGAATTTCATCTCTCCTTCCATAGGCTCTATCCCGATCTTTGGCAGCTTGTGTAACTTTGGGAAGACAAACTCTACATCCATGGGGCTGAACTCCAGCTTGGCTGGAGACGTTTCCTTTTCGATTTCTCTTCTAGCTTTTATTTGCTTGTTCTCTTTTAGTCTTTTTAAACCAAACCTCCCAGCTCTCAATTTTCTAGCTTTGAAAGGTCTTTTGCTTCTAAAACTCTGCAAAAGGAATTTGAAACATGATTTAATTTTTTTACTGAATTGAAAAGCACATCAATTGTATTTTTTATGCACTGGTAAAACTAGAGATATATTGCAATAATTGTATTCTAGTATACATTTTGAAACAGTTACATCTAAGTAAATAGTATACCAAGATCTCTTATAACTTCAAACTTGTCACAATCAGTTATATTTCTATAACAGTTATAAAAACAAAACATAATGAAAGTAATACAGTGAAATGGAAGTAGAAATTTTATTCTCACTAGTTATCAGTTTGTTTGATCTCACTATCTGCAAATTCATCGAGTCAATGGTACAATTATTTGAGTCAATAATAATTCATGTAAAAATGATTTTTTTTAGTTAGAGGAATGTATTAGATTATATTAAAAGCTATAGTACCAGACACTGAAGCACCATGTTGAATTTTTAATATACTACATGGGACCAAAAGGCTATTATTTTTGATTAAAAAATAATAAAATAATAATAAAAAAAAAACAAAAGGCCAATACATTGCAGGAAGGGGAATGATTTGGACTGTTTGTGTTGGTTCAATTTGATTGCTCCTCATTTAAGATGTTAATGATGTTAGATGTTAGATATTCTTTGTTATTTCCTGGCCCCTGGTACACACTTGTGACACTTCTCAGCAAAATTACTGGCAGCACTTTACATTGACTACATCTTCAAAATGCCTTTATAATGCATTTGCAGAATATCCTTTACATCCTAATGTAAGTGGAGATAATTGCGCCATTCCTTGATTTACCATTTTGGGCATTTTGGCTTTTGGGCCTTTGAGCTCGAAGCTAGCAGCACGTGGGAGCGTACTGACGTCCATGCCTGGTATTGTCCTCTTCAATAAAAAGGAGACCTTGTAGGGTTCAGCACACTGAAGAATCTTCAGGGCATCTTCATACTTCACGTTATCAAAGTATACTTTGGCACTAAGCAACTGATCTCCTGTATTCAGATAAACAAGCAAAAGAAGTTCCAAACTTATTTACAGTAAATCAAGCAATTATTTTAAATAAAAAAAAAAACTACATATTTCTATATTCTTTCATCCGATGATGTAAGTTACACCAAAGAAAATAACTGAAGGACTGAATTCCACACAGACCACTTCTTAAAGCATCCACTATTGCTTCATGTATGAGATATGCCTTGGCATGACATGCCTATTGTATGGCAAAATTAATTTGCTTGATTTATTTGACACAACTTTCAGAATCTGGACTTAGCACACGCTTGTTGCATGATTTAAATTTCAATGGAAGATGTCATACAGAGGTAGTTAGGAATCCCTTTCACAGTCAACAGTTTTATTATCAAATATTTTTTAATTTTATACCTTTCTGAAGACTGAGGTGTTTTGCTGCCGGTGAGTCCTTTAATACGTCTTTGACAAAAATTCCTTTTCTCCCTCCACCTGTCACACTATACCCACTTGCCCCAGCTTCTGCCTCAGTCTCCACAACAACTTCCACCATTTCTGAGGCAGGAGCTTTCTCCTGGCAGGGCAAGGCAAAGCAAGTTTATTAGAATGATGATAGGCAATGTGTTTCTGTATTGAAATGTTTGTCATTAAGTCCATTCATTTAGCAAAATCTTTTGTTTAAAGTGAGGTATAAGTGAGGAAAGCTTGGGTTAAGTGAGCATGGTCAGTCAGTGTTTTTAGAATAGCGGGAATTAAAGGCCTTCTTCAGAGGCCCAACGGTGAAATGATTATTCTCCCAGGTTACATATATGACATATAATACGGCTGTACTCCATGCCTACCTCGGCCTCACTGATTTGCCCTGAGGGATTCATATCTCCTTGGAATGACTGAGTTCCTCTCAGATGGCTTTGCTTCCGGCTCAGCACCTCCTTCAGCTCTTCATGCAGTTTTTTCTTCTGTTTCTATCATATGAAAATGAAGTCAACAGACTTTCCAGTGTCTCCTTGATTTATACTAGTTTACACCAAGCAAATCAAAATGTGTGACTATTTCTATGCTCATGTTGCAAATAATTATTGTGAAATTCTTAGCTTATGGCCTATGCGTAAACAAAGTGTGGATACCAGTTTTAACATCTGTTTTTAAACGATTAAATGTATTTTTATTTCAAGAAACACAAGGTAGGGGTGCCCTGGATGTTATTCCACTCCACCTCCGTTCACATGCTTGCACACACACTCTCACACTGTGAGCAATTTAGAGACAATTCAGATGTAAGGTCACATAGCAACTTATATAGATAACATCTACAGCCATTGTATTATATGATAGATTTGAAATATTTGTTCTTTTGGGGTTTTATATAGTTTGTTTGGAAGTATGTTGACCATTTTCTAAAATTATTTGTACAGTGATTATTAATGGTGATCAAATCTCACCACTCTTTCAGGACTTTCCTCTTCTAATGTGGCTTTGAGGTTAGGAGAACGGTGTTGGGTAGGTGAAGACCTGCTGATGGGAGTGGATGGTCTACCTGTCAAGAACACGATCCAAACATCCAGTATGAAACAAAGACAGACGCAAAATAACAGAAGTTCGACAAAATAACAGAATATCCAAATTATGTATTCATAAGATGGATCTAAAAATCCATTTGATTTCATAACTGCTTTGAGAACGTCTTGGTATCATACAGGTCCTGAACTGTGTGGCATCCAGGAAGAAAAGCCTGCAGCTAATTGAGAGGCCAAAGGGTTGGAAACCTGCTTTGTGCACTGAGCTTCAGTGCTTCCCATAACGGTGTAATGACTTAAGTATATCATCACGGAATATCAGAGCACTATGAGGGTAAGTAAGTCCTCAAAATCTGGTCTCATATTTCTTGGCTGGTATATGAGCATGCAGCACAATTGTGAGATATGACTTCCACAAGGTAGCAGGCCATACCATGTTTAATACTCAACAGGTATCCTTTACTCTTCAAACATAAACTCATCTGAATGTAGGAAAAAGGGTAAAAGATGACCTATCAGTCCTTGGGTCCAGGCTCTGTGTTTTCCATACCCAGCTATGTGTTTTGTTGCATTTATCCTGGCTGAATGTACTGTCACAATGACAGCCTTATCATAAATTGCAGCTTTGGGAAGGTCATGGAGTTCAGTTTTTCTTGAAAGTGGGCAGTAGAGGTGATGTTGTTTCAGACTTTACTTTTGTGGTGTTTAGCAACAATCTTGTCTGTCTGTCCCTGTCAGTGAACTTTCTTCTTTGCAGTGTGTCCATGTTAGACATAGGCTCTTGTGATATTGGAGATTATTCCTCTTGAGATGGTTGGGTGGAGTACTACATTAACTGTCCCACTGAGATATTCATTTAAATGCATATTATAGTTTGGATCCTTTGAGTTTCCCATTATTCAACTTATGAACACTCTAAACTAATGAACAAATTAGTTTGATCAGGCACAGGTTTTATTAAATGTTTACCAGCTACTGCAACAAAAAAACCTTTGCTACTTTATATCTCCAAAACACATTAAACATTTTTTTTTCGAAAACTTTTAATAAGGCAACAAAGAAAGCTGTCAGGTGAACTGCATTTAAAGTTGGAATACTCTTTGTTCATGGGACGTTTTCCCACACTCTTGACTGGCAGATATAAGGTTTCAATTGGGCAGAGGGTAACCTTACAGTGCTGCATATCACCATTACTTTCCAAGTTGGTTAACCTATAAATAAGATCATAACAACCTCACAAGCTTAAGTAAATATACATTCCAGGGGTGCACTAATCATTCTGTTACACAGGTTAAGATTTATTATGGTTAGCTTATTATGGGACTGTGACGCCAAGATGGTAGTTGCATTATTTCTTTCAAATATTTTAATTTTTAATTTGCTCGCACTTTTGCACACTTTGCGCTAAAATGAAAGTTAAGTACCTATTTGTGAAACAATGACTCAGTCTACATTTTAGACACAAATTCATAACTTGCTTTGTGTGCTGGTTTTTGTTCCCCCAATGAGAGAAAAAAAGAATGGAAAATGCCTCCCTACGCATTTGTACATAATAAGTCCATGAGTCACACTATAAAGGTCAGCGCTGGATGTGTTCAATCCAGAGTCTGTCAAAACAACGAGTGGGAAAACCTTTTCTTACATTGCTGACATTCCAAGTAAAGGTCTAGAATTTCGATGTATCGTGGGCTGATCATTTTCTGCACTACTATCATGTTACTTCTGATTTACTCAGCTGACACTCACACCACCTGCCGTCTCACACGCAGTCAGTAGTTCTTGAGTTTGTAAGGCTGTTTATACATGCATATAGCATGCATGCTAAATGTCATGTTGATGTTATTCACATTTATAATGCTTAGATTATTAATATGAAAATTAGCAGCAGAGGAAAACTATTTTGGGTTATTACATTTTCTATCGTTTCTTTTTTTTCTTGGCAAAATGTTTTAAAATAAATACCTGTTAATTTGGAATCATTCATCCCCACAATAAATATATAGACCTTAAATAAACAGATCTAAATTATCAAGTTCCTATGCATCAAATCAGCTAAAAAGAACTACAGTTAGTTCATTTGAATTCATTGTCATGTAATGAACAAATAAAAAAATACAGCAAGCCTGATATATGAATTAATACACGACTTACCCCTGAAAACTGAAGATATAAAATGTATTATTCCTGATCTAATGATCCGAATATCTACCTTTTCAGAGCTTTGACAGTTTAATTTTTATAGGCATGCCAGAAGTGACACAAACATTCAATTCAACTCAATTTGCATGAAGTTCATTGGATATTTTGGTATAGAACAAACTATAAAGTTTGCCTGTATCCCAAGCACAGCTAGGAAAATCAAAGTTCATTAAGTGTTTTACAGAATCTTGTATACCTCCTGTTAATTTTTTTCTTTTCTTTTTGGAGGTAAATTGCAAGAAGAAAGGACATAAATAATCTATACATTTTCAGTGTAACTAATTGATGAATTACTTTTGTCTATCTATCCACCTTCAATATCCACTCATCGAGTACAAATTAGCAAAATGGTCTAGAATAAAAGACAGCAAAATCAAAGAAAGGCAAGAGAACACCACAGACAGGTTGGTATTACAGCAGGGTCCCCCAGTTCCGTTCCTGGACCAGTCTGCAACACAAGATGCTGAAATCTCTGCTCAAACACGCCTGTTAAACGTGGCACTTGGCCGGTGAGCTGAATAAGGTGTGTTTGAGCAGGGAAAGCTGCAAACTGTGTTGCTGTTCATCCCTCCAGGAGCGGGATTTGGGAACCTTGTATTACAGCATTACAGGACATTACAGGGCATGCTGACACAATGAATGTTTGGATTATGGGGGGGGGGGACGGGACACAGAGAGAACATACACATGGTGAGGATGGGATTGGAACCATCAACCAAGGTGTGAGGAACAAGTTCTACTAACATAGCCACCTAAGATTAAGTTACGTAAAGCAAATATTGTTACAGCGGTTGACACACAGTGAGCTTGCAAATACAAAAGTTAATTAAACTTCAATAAAACTGCTTAGATCTGAGCGGTAAGGGTGCAATATAATATTTATTGTAATGCAAGTGTAAATAACCATATCAGATGTTTGTTATATGGATACTGTGATGTAAATTGGTTATATATTTTGGTTATAATAAAAATCTTTTCTGATGCTTGTATTGTTATAAATCCACCAATCCTCCAGTCACTTCTGCTGGAGTGAGTCATGCGGATCAGGGGCCTGTCACAGGCAGCACTCAGGGCTCAAAGACACTTTGCTGGATGCAGTTAGAAAGCAGGGACAGGAATGTCATGAATCTATATTGAAAAGAAGAAATCCTGGCTAACTTTTTCACTTTCATTTTGCTCATGACCTTGTACTGAATGAGCGGTTGGGAAACTGAGGGAGGGGCTTTATGTTTCCGTGATACAACAAATGAACCCAGTTATGTTAGGGGCGATAAAACCAAAGCAAAGCCCAAAGTAAGCCCAGGATGGTAATTTCAAATAAAACTGCAAATAAATGTGCAAATCGTGAACTCTATCCCTGTCCCTTATGTATCGCAAACCAGGGCTCAGCATCATGGTGAATATTCATAGAAATTTAGATTTTTTATTCCTACCGTGAGAATGGTATATAAAAATGCAGCCTATGTAACTTTCTTTATTTTTTTTATTAAAACATTTTGCCACGGGGATATGTCTGTATAATAACAGGTAGAGCATCCCTGTTACACGCAACATGCAAATGCATAGATAATTAATTACTGTTACAGGGCTTGTAATTAATCATAACTTTTTAGTATTCTTCTAAAATCTCTTCTAATATATTGATTTGTTAAATTCATTAACTGTAATGACTGTAGCACTTCAAATCAAGCTTTCTATATTAAGAGCAAATGGTTACTAATGGACCAAATAATCTGTTTCCTTTAGATACTTTTAAAGACTAAATATGGATGTTTTTTATTATTCACCTATATAATTAGATATGATTAGATACAGCTGTCTCTTATGTATTTATAGAATCATCAAAATGCTAAATTATTTGCAGCAGTATGACACTGTGATCTCTAAGGAGCCCCCTACTCAGTATGGCCTCCTGTAACATAATGCATGCAGAATAAACATTCTCAAAGGCTCCCATTCCTAATTCAATTTAGAGAAATACAAAGTGACAATATGTAGCCTGGCACTGGCATAAATTACTCCCCCAATAACCAAAACTGGCCAATACAATTCCCCTCCAAATGATCACAAATTTGGTGGAGACCGCACCACCCCCCCTAATGTTCAAACCAAAAGTTACATGTAGCATGTTGTGTGTGCGTGTGTGGATTAGCTTTATATTACATTGTGGGGGACATTTGGTCCCCCACATTGTGATAAAAACCCGTTATTTTCGGGTCCCCACAAAGATCTGTGAATGCAATCAAAAAACTAAAAATGCCTAAAGTCTCGCATTTAGTTTGGCTACTTATGGATAAGGTTAGGGTTGGGTAGGGGTTAGGGTTGTCATGTTGGGATTAGAGTTTTATCCATAGAAATGAATGGAGAGTCCCCACAAAGATATAATTACAAACCTGTGTGTATGTGATCCTAAAGATCCTCCAGTTTTTGCAGTGACTATCCAATATATCCAATATATAGCCTGTTGACTCAGTCACCATCATATAATTTTTGTCTACTTAATACCTCATCAAATAATTTAACTAATTACAGGGATTAACTATGCAGACAAATGCTGAGATTATACAGATACATGGAATGGCTAGGGTGGTCCTGAAAACACAGTATACAAAGCACCAGTACAAGCTGGGGTCAAACAATCCACAGATCACATGACCCACATGCTGCAGCTGTTGCCACAGTATAAAATAACAGTCTCCTAAAATAAGCACTGTCACTGACTTGGCAAATGGATATAGTCGGTGTGATATATATGTGAGTATATTCTTTCAGTATTTAAGTTTATAACCACATCCCACATGTATAATATATGACTAATACAGATCACCGATATTAATATAAATTTCTTATTTATGGGATATGACTTTTGCATATCCTAACATTGGGGATATTTGAATACTTATATGTTAAACAGAACACAGAAGATACAAAGCTTTGCAGCACAGAAACCAAGAAGCAAGAGCAAAACAACAACAAAAGACACGGTCATTCTGCAAACCATGAAATGACAATAAACTCCTAATATCGATAATAAATAACTAGCATATAACATGGCAAAACTAGAAACCTGCAACTTAACCCGGAGAGAATGCTATGTGAAAAAGTCTTGCTATTACTGGTAAGTATTACAATTTTCGTTCCTTTTCATTCCATTCCTTAGTAATGTATTGGCATATGAATGCTCAATATGTTTGCCATGAACAGCTATAGTTCCCTGACCAGCTGTGAGATGAGCAATAACTGTCAACAACTTCTAAATTCAGAAATTTAACTCAGATTTTCCTTGTACTTGTGTTAATGCACTGGACACTGGACACTGGACACTGGAAAGATACTCCAGAAGCCTACCTTTTCGCTTCTCCCTCTCCTTTCTCGGTGGAAATTAGCTGTGTGAGGCAGACCTACTGTAGCAATAACTTTTCACCCTCTGTTACCAAGCTTAATTTTTGCAGGAGGTCTTCATCTGAAAGGCGATTGGAGGAGCCTGACTGGGGGTGGGCGGAGTCGCGGGATTGTAACAACATTGTACAGCATTGCTTAGACATCATAGATTCAGAAAGACCACAACTTTGCAGTTTAGAAAAATGAGTATCGTTTAGCTGACTTGAGTCTATTAAGTGACTTCTATGAAGTTAGCATATCTTTGACAGCCTGCTATCATTTTTGTGTTATTTACCGTAATAAAATAAGAAAACGCTAATACAAAACTCTTGGAATGACCAAGAGATTATTTAGTGAAATTATTTAACAAACAAAAATAAAAATATGGATATACTACGCATATTTCTTAGTTTTCTCTTGGAAAAAAATACATTGCATTGTGGAGCATTGCAACAGGTACTTTCTAAATCTTTTTAAAGGCTTCTAAAGCTTTTTCCTGTTTTTAGGTGTTCAATCTGAAATAGAAATGTTAACACACAGATGGCAGATTAACTTCTACTACTATAATAAAACGAAAATATAATTTTGCACATTGGTGCCAACGGGCAGAAAAGACCAGCCTGTCTGGGAGTGAGTATACACTGTCGCAATCTCATCATCGGCAATTCTTGGTGCCAAGAAACTTCAGTGGGGGTGGAGCGGGTTATGCACTAGGTTCAGTTTAGGATGATCTGAACAAGTTGCAGGAAAAAAAAATCAATGACTCCCTTTTATGTCATTAGTATTATATAACTAAAACTGCAGCACAAACCAACCTACTGGGTTAGGATCAGTCCCTACCCTCCCCCCTTCTGAATGTCAGTTTCCCATTTGGCCAGCAGGTGTCACCATCCTGTCTCCTGATGTTTTCCAGGTCTGTTCTATTCCTTAGTGTATTCATCTGCTTCCCAGGCTGCCATGAGCTTAATGGGTGGCTGCAAAATGAGCACCTTCTCTCTCATGCGTCAACTTGTTGAACATTTTTATGTTCTGTGCCCCTAGATTCTGTTGTGCATCATGGTTCCTTGTGTTCTTGTATACTGTAATTTCTTGTTTTTTTCCCTCATGTGTCTCTGTTACCATCTAGTTTTGTAATTATGTCATGGTTCCTCTGTTCAGTGTGTCTCAAGTTAAGCTCTAGTCCCTAGTGTTTGATTGTGATTACCTTCTCCTGTGTGTAATTGTAACATCTTTGTTATCTGTGTATATATATGTATATATAAGGTGGCTGCCCTTCGTGGACAGCTTGCTCTACAAAGAGCAAGTTGAGGGAGGCGTAAAAAGAATTTCCCCATGGGGATTAATAAAAGTGTAAATTATTATTATTATTATTATATGTGCCTGTCCTTGCCCTTGTTCCTCAGTTGGCCATTGTCTTTGTACTTGTTCTTACCCTCCATTTGCTCCCTACATTGTTCCTCTATGTCTTTCTTGCTTGTGTTCCCTGTTTGCTGTGAATTTCTCCTTGAGTTTTTCCCCTCGTCTGTTAAATTTCTTGTTCAATTAACCTGTCTGAGTTAGACGCCCCATGGTCCTTTTGTTTCTTGTTTTTTTAAGTTAATTAAAGTCCCTTGTTTTTATTAGCTGCTTCGTGGTTCATCCCTTTCTCCATCCACCATGCCCATCTGTTATGATGGTAGAAGACATGCTAATAACCATTGAACAGCTAGTACTTAATATATTATTAATAAGTATATATTCAGCTGCTGTTGATGTGGATACTGTGGACATCTTATGCTACATCCCATAATATGAAATGTTTCAATTCATGATTCACAGAAAAAAAAATACTGAAAACCACATTGAACAAACTATAATAATGGAAAAATCAAAAGCCTTACTTATTCAGATCTTAACATTAACAAGCAGAAGCATTGCTCAAGTCTTATAAAGCCCTAGGGAATAAAATCATAACCACGTTATAATCTAATAGAATTTCTTTAAAATACCTGGAATGCACTGACTATTGTAGACTTCAGTATAGTATGATGTATAAATATCACATGCTGATCAAATCAGAGATGCAATGGCTTTTTAAATCTGTCCCTGTTTTGCAAATGCAACCCATCCTAGCCCACCTGTGTTGGAAGAAGATGTCCAAGCGATTCTGAAAATCCCACGGAGACATTCACACATTCTTTAAAGGAGCAGCAGTCGCACCCGAGAATACAGATTTATGGAAGTTGTTGCCTCTTGTCAGCCCCCTAAGACAGTAAAATGTAAAATATGGTCGGTCACAAATGAGGAGGTTTGAAGCCGATGGGAAAAACACGGTAGTCAATGGGTGTGTGGTGAAACTAGACAGAAGTGACTGGATTAGCTCAGGCCGAGCGTCAGCAGTTTGAGTCCATGAAAAACTGCTACCTATTGTGTGTGACAGGACAGGATGAATCCCGAATGGGCCACAGGCCTGGTTTTCAGGCTTAGTGAGAACTTCCAGGGAATGGCTCAGACTGGCCTCGTAAAGAAACGTGTTTTACATGGCTGAAATACACAGCAAATCAAAGGCAATGTAACAAAAAAATTTAAGGATAGTTTGTATAATTATATAATATAATTAGTATAATCAGCTTAATGCAGTTATCCTTTTGCAGGACAGAATTCAATACACACACACACATAATTTATGACTCACAGCAACACTAAGCAGGTTTAACACAAAAACATGTTTATTCAACTCAGCATTGGGACAGGAAAATGCTTACACTTCTTATTCAGTGATTCAACAGAAAGTTTATGTAGGTGTGTAAAAATCTGAAGAAGGCTGTACTCTATCCAAAAGCTACCCACCTAAGAAATTCACAAAAAGAAAGATTTAGCTTTTGTATACACTGAAGTTCTCTTCTGCCTATTTTGAACTTTTTAATGCAAATATAGAACCCTTTAAGATATTTTTTGCATGTAGGTTTTACAATATTTTCATTTCAGCTTTCAGCTATTGATAACAACAATGTACATGCTTACGTAATTCTTCTTTGGAGATTCTTCACAATTGTTTGATCATGCTCTTGGGCTGTTGCCCTTAGTTTTTACAATGTTTGTGAAGGCAATTCCTAAAGCATTTGAGCAGAATAAGTGCTTAGAAGATGAATGTATATTAGTATGTGTGTCAGCTGATGTATGAATTGTGTATATAGACACAATTTAAATGTAACTTTCCATATGTGTAAATAGAAGATAATTCCTTATAGAATACTATGGAATATTATGCACACTTAAATTTTGCTTCCTATGTCGTAAATACATTTTACTTAACATTGTGTAGAGCAGCTTTCAAAAACTGTCTGAACTGAACTGAATGCAAAAAACTGACATGACATTTTTCATATGGCTATTTGGCTACAGGGTGCTCTTACCTTCTGTTAATATATAAAATCTGTATTTCAATCTAAACAGCATATGGCTTTCCCAACACTCTGTCGACGGTTTGTGGTTGTTCCCTCCTCTGACCACTCTCAGTGGGTCTTCAGCACAGTCAACCATGAGCTCCCCCCACCAGGTTGTTTCGGAGATGGTATGCCCCAGTTGTCTGGCTGTAACACAGTCACTCAGATCTTTACACCTGTCCATTTCTTCTGCATTCAACACATTGACCGAGTGCTGAATGTTAGCTTACAATCTAATATCAGTTTCCAGTTAGAAATATTTACAAAATGAACATTAGAAATAAATCCAATATTACATTTATATACACTGCCCGGCCAAAAAAACGTCGCCATTTGAATTTTTCATTGGACCGCCTTTAGCTTTGATTATGGCGCACATTTGTCATGTCATTGTTTCCACAGGCTTAAGCAACATCTCACCCTTTAATTTAATCCATATTTGCATTAATTTCTCCTGTATTGACAAGTGAGTTGAACCACTCCGTAAAGCCTTCTTCAGCACACCCCAAAGACCTTCAATGAGGTTAAGGTCACAACTCTGTGGTGACCAAGTCATGTGTGAAAATGATTCCTCATGCTTCCTGAACCACTCTTTGACAATTCGAACCCAATGAATCTTGGCATTCTTGTCCTGGAATATGCCCATACCAACAGGGAAGAAAAAAACCCATTGATGATGGATGGAGGTGTAACCTGGCCATTCAGTAGATTCAGGTACTCAGCTGACTTCACTTTATTGCTGCATAATGTAGCTGAGCTATAATAATGATCCAGTCATTGGCTCTTAAGTATTTGCTGATATAAATTCAAATGACGACTTTTTTTTTGGCCGGGCAGTGTACAACACCAAACACACCTTTTAAAGCTCTGCCCACATTTCAATAAGCTGAAGGATATTTATTTAAAGGCCAGTGCAATCTAATACAAAATGTAATACATCCACAGCAGCTTTAACAACAAATCAAACCTCCAATTTCAAAATAAACAATTATATTTAAAGGTCACTGGCGGTAAGGTTACCAAAAACATAATCATCACCTAGATTTCAAACAATCAAAAGATACAAACAACAAATGGTTAAACTGTTAAATAAAGATGACACTGTCTTGTTTAATTTCCACCAGCATCTAATTTTTTTTCCCCTTAATTCATAAGATGTTCCTTATGTTCCTTTAATGGTGTTTGATGCTCCCGCTAATATATTGCACATGCTCAGTTAGGACCACCAGCCATTTTATACTACCAAGGGAATCCTGTGATATCAAAATAAAAGTCCCAATGACAATAATGCTTTTAAGTGATAGAAACCTCATAAAATTCAGATTCATTCGTTTGCCAATCACAGTGATGGTTAATTACACATGAGTATAGTTGTGTATGAAATGTGAAACATACAGATATGAAGATATAAGTGTGTTTGCTAATATAATATATCTACAAGTGAAAGTAAAATTATATATTATAGGAAGGACTGTGTTATGAATTTGGAAATCATAACAAAAAACAACAAATATGAAAGGGAATGTGATTGTTGTTTCATGACAAGATTAATTCAGCATATGGAAGGTGATATCAACTACACTGGCATGGAGCCAGTGCAGGTACTAATTAACTTTAAAAGTTCATTTACAGATATG